AGGCCATTCATTGAAGGTGCGCCTTATAATCCGGTGCGCCTTATAGTGCGGAAAATACGGTAGTTGACAGTTATTTCAATAATCGACTAATCACAATTGTTACAATTAATCGTTCAGCGGCATCAGGACAGTCTTACCTTTAGCAGGATTGACATAGATCCCTGACTTGTAGAGCATCTCCTCGTTCTGCCAGTCCTGATTCCTCGCCACGGTTTTCATCCCAAACAGAAGGAGCAGGGCGCCGCTGCAGAGCAGCAGCATCCTCCTGCAGGACCTGCGTCGCACAGACAGCGACCGCAGCCCCACAGCCACAAGCAGGCAGAAGCCCATGCTGGGGATGTACAGCACTCTCTCTGCTATCACAAAGCCAACATAGAAAAACAGGTTTGTAGCAGGTAAGAAGGGGATGGCCAGAAGGCCCAGGGAGAAAGCCACCACGTTCTCCGTGGTCGGCAGTGAAGTCCTGCTCTCCGACAGGCTGCTGGTTCCGTTCTGGGTGAGAATATTGTTGGTGTCTGTGTGAGAGTTGTTTGTGTGTTCGTGGTAACTGTGTCCATTACTGTTCCCATTCCTGCCGTTAATGTAATGGTGGCTTTTCCCATTGGTTTCCTTGGTCCTGCTTGCTGAGTGCATCCACAGGCCAAACCAAACCAGCAAAAGCAACCCGAGGTAAAAGAGAACCGTGTGGACGTTCCTCCAATCGGCCAGGCTCCTGATCAGAGGCAAGGCATCCATCGACCAATCAAAACTCAGCGTGTCCGGGCAGAGGAGGAGCCAGAAGTTGACGGCAGGCAGGTGGAAAAAGGTCAGAGTCCTGGCGAGGAGCGAAGGCGAGTCAGCGGCCGGGTTGTCCGAGTTGGAGAAGTTGGGCGGCTTGTTGCCCATCCAGGAGAAGCGGCAGGCCAGCAGGACGACTCCCCACACGGCCAACAGCAACACGTTCAGCAGCAGCTGGTGGTTCTTCCTCTGCCGGACACAAAGACACAAAACTGGATCACACACAGCAACAAACACCAGCCGATAGCATATCAGCTAGCTTAGCATGGCGATAGCTGCATTTTCTTTCAAATATGCTTTAGGAATAATAACAGTTAAATATTGGGACAAGAGAGAAAACTACAACATAAGAATGGTTGAACGTTGGACTGAATGGTTGTATTGATAGTTGTATTGATTCCAGATTATTTATGACATGGTTGGTTAAGTTTATGATTGTCAATTATTTCTATTTGCTAAACTCCAGAAAAATGAGAGAGAGAATTTATTTTATTTTACTTTAGTCCAACTGAGCGGTTTGTGTGTGAGGTAGAACCTCCTCTGGTTGAACAGAACTCTGCAGTCCAGGTCAGATCGTTCAGGCTCAGCTTTATTAAAACCAGAACATTTATGATGAATCAATTCACTGGTTGTTTAAAATAAAAGGGAACAGCAGATCTTTTCTTTACACACATCATTTTTCCTCTTAACTTCACGGCCTCCGCAGACATAAGAAAACAAGCACAGCTGTATGAGCTCCATTCATCATAACAGAGTTGATATTCAACACTTTCTCCAGCGCGTGGAAATACTGATGAAATATGTAGAGTGTTCGGCTGTTCAATAACTTGTTGGCGGAGCGCTGAAAAATGACCCGACATATTTCTGCACGAGTTCGGACCAGGCAACTTACACTAGAAAACGTGCAAAAGTTTCCAATCTGCTCCGTAGTTTTAACTTTCTGAAAATGATATTCAGATATTACATTTAGAGCTCAAGGGAAAAGAAGATACAGAACATGAAAAGATGAAGTGGAAGTTAATGAATGCTGGAATTAGAATCTCCAGAGGGATCATAACATCACATCCTGTGATATTTAATCATTTATAAGATCGTTACATTATAATATTCCAAAGTTTGGCCCAGAAGATGTGATGTTTTAACCATCACAGCTTCGGGGCTGTACTATTGATTGCTTTGTCATTTACAAACTGAGTCTGTAAAGAGGGGCATCATTAACCTTTGAATCCAGAGTCTGTCTGCTAATGATCGCTGCCAGCATCTGATGACTGGAAGGAAACGAGTCCAGAAACATCCGGAAAACGCCATGACAACAGCCTGAACCAGCCGCCTGTTTATGCAACTTCTGAACCGGAAAAAGCTGAACAGAGATCAAATATTCTGGAGATAAATCTCTGGAGCTGGAGCCGAATGCATCTGATTTATGGAAATATGACAAACATCACACAGAAAAAAGGTCAGGACTGAAAACGACCGTGGGTGATTCTGGGTTTCATGGAGACGGGCGAGGAAGCCGTTTCGTTGCTTAGCAACAGAAGGTCACAGTTTCAACCCAGATGAGCACTTCACATTGATTTCTTCTCACAGAAAAAACAAGGAATTCAGTGGAAAATTTTAATAATCAAGATGTTAACAGAAGAGAGTAAATAAATGAACTGCTTGTTCAAAGTCAGTAAAGAAAAATCTGGTTTTTGCTGAATTTCACAAGGAAACTCCAGATTTAGTCAAATAGTATTTGAATGTTACAAAATAAGAAAAAAAGACTTATATTTCTGTTCAGACAATAGAAGCCACACTATCTTAGAAGCAGGAAGGTTGAAATGTTCACTAATTAAAATAAAACTGGAGAAATAGACAGTCGTTCTGCCATGTCAAGTTTCAGAACTACAAATGAAATCCAAACGGTTGGTCTGAAAACCAGAGAGCCAGCATCTGACAAGCATCGGAGCTTGGAGCCGATCGGCAGAACGCCGTGACCTGAAGCTGATCAGAGTTCACCAAAGAGGCTTATGGGTCGGCGTTGGACCCCCAGGTCCTGCTGTGCCGACATTCGGCTCAGATTTAGGGAGATTTTCACCTGGATCTCAGGACCTCTGGCAGCTCCAAACAGCAGCTTACAGGAAACCCCACTGTGGGGAATCCAGTCAGTCTGGAGAACGTTTCACTAAAACCAGGCATGAATCACACAACACCCCGATCTCTGCTGAGTCTGTGACTCATTTCTGCAGGTCTGTTCAGCTGCCGCTGTGATGAGAGCCATGAGTGAAGCCATAACCAGCGTATTTATTTGAATCGAGCGTGTTTGCCTGTTCGGGATCCACCGGTGATCCACTGGAATCACTCCAGAACATGCTCACTCCAACAGGGCTCAGCGACAAACAGATATGTCATCCCGACTCTTCCCAGACTCGGCGCACACTCAAACGCTGCCATCCTAACTGCATCCACATGTCACGCCTTGCTTAAAATTCTTCTTCTGCATTTCAACATTTGGGTTTTCTTTGTGCAAAAGAACATTTCTGGGCTTCAGTGAGAACATAAAACCCTGTGACTGCACTTCAGTCCGTAGCTGTGACCTCAGTGCTGCTGCTCAAGGCTTAAATCACCAAACGCTTCGACTTTCTAAGGAAAATAAAAGGTGACAGAAAAAAATAGACTGCCAGCATTGTTCCAGGAGTGTAATGAGGCACAAGCTACAGAGGCAACACAATCCCGATGTGTATTTTCTCATGAATAAATAATCTTGTGCATCCTCCAGTTAAATATCCATCAGTTCAACCACCAGCCTGGAGCTTCAGCCCCATTATGCATGAAAACTCGAGCCGTCCAGCTTTGTGTCTTTTGTCAATAATCCAGTTTAGCCTGAAATAAGTGGTTTAGCGCAACCCCAGGGGAGGTTTGAGAACACAGTTTTTTCATCTCTTCTATGCTTCCAGCACATTCAGTTCTAAACTGATACAATTTAAGCTTTATTTGGCATGCGGATGAAAAATCCTTGGAGAAATGCAAAACAGGCTAATTAAGGGAAACCCTGCTTTGAGCTGTTCCCGCCTCTTTTAGCTGCGGCTGTGTTTTTTCCAACAGCATCTTGTTTGTTCTGAGCAAAGGTTGCAGCAAAGTGGAAATTTAATTAGTTTAGAAAACATTTTAGAGAACATGCACAGTTTTTTTTAAAGATTATTTGCCGCTGTGCTGTGCACCACACATGTAGCAGGTTTTCAAGAGTATCCTAAGAGCAATCCATCACACCACACATCTAACAAGCCCATCAAAGTGCAAAGCCATGTCTGGCTCACACTCCAGTGAGCACCTGAGCAGGGATCCTGAGAAAGAAATGGCACGTCTGACCCTTCTCCTCCTCTTCATCATTACTGAGATCAATTGTCTACAGAGGCTCTTTCATCAAGATCCTGCCTTTCACTGATAGACTTGTAATGGAAGTGAAAATGAGCTCAGGGAACCAATCAAACAGCATTACTGCCTTCAAAGCCGTGAGACGAAGGGACACATAAACACAAAGGAAGCTCAGGTTTAGTAGGCTCGCCACATCCCCCTCCACCTCTGCATAAATCTTTCTGAGGAGGTGATGGATGGATATGAAGTCTGCTTTTGTCCTTGCTCCCTAACCGCTGGAACAGCTAATCTAGCCCGAACCACAACTTCTCCATCCATCTCTCTTCCTTATCAGCCACAGCTGGTGTGATCCTCCAAGACAGAAAAGTACCCTTGGCTGGGAAAGCAGATTCTCAGCAAGCTAAACAAGATAAGAGTCTAATTATTAATTTCCCAACATGTGTTTAGGATTACCAGCAGCTGGCACATAAAAAATCCCTCATTAATAAGATTTTACAGTTTTATCTGGATAGCATTTCTGACAAACTTCATTAATATTCCAGATATGCCTCATACGCACATCAGGAAATTATCATCACCTGCAAAAAATTGTGTTGGTCCAATTTTTGGTGCCATAGCATCTCTGAGCTGTGGGAGCATAAACTCCCCTCAGCACCTAAGAAGTGTTTTATTAGCTGCACTGCTTCAGTCCAACACACCACAGATTCTGGAATGGAGAACTATCTGTACAGTCCTGGGGACGGCTAACGAAAAGGTTAGCTGCTCTAACCCTAAAGCACTAACCATAAACATTAGTTCTGCCGATGGTACAGCGCCAAACGAACATGGTATTTAGCTAATGCTAAAGAGTCAAACGTACATGGTATTTAGCTAATGCTAAAGAGTCAAACGTACATGGTATTTAGCTAATGCTAACGTGTCAAACGGACATGGTATTTAGCTAATGCTAACACACCAAACGGACATGGTATTTAGCTAATGCTAAAGTGTCAAACTTACATGGTATTTAGCTAATGCTAAAGTGTCAAATGAACATGATATTTAGCTAATGCTAACACACCAAACGAACATGGTATTTAGCTAATGCTAACATACCAAACGAACAAGGTATTTAGCTAATGCTAAAGCGTCAAACAAACATAGTATTTAGCTAATGCTAAAGCGTCAAACAAACATAGTATTTAGCTAATGCTAACACACCAAACGGACATGGTATTTAGCTAATGCTAACACACCAAACGGACATGGTATTTAGCTAATGCTAAAGTGTCA